AGATCGATCAATTTCTCTCTTCCTTCTCTTCTCATCTCTTATCTTTCTTATTGATCAAAGATGGACAAATTGCACTTGCATCCTTTCACGAACGCTTAAACTACACATGGTACCCCCATGTTTTCAAAAATTACACACGATACCCCTAACGTGTGTGTTTACACAACAATAACATCCTAGCCGTGACGGTCAAATGAGTTTACCGTTAAAAATCAATGACATCAACATTATAAGTTTGTAACATTTTGTTTTGAAAGGTCCATTTAGCCCTTCAAACAAGTCAAAAGACAAAAGATCCCTAAACCATTCAAATATAAGACAAAAATACCCTCTATTTCAAAGTCTACTTTGCCCCTCTTTATATACACAAACACATAGTGTGGTGATTTGGGGTGCTGTATAATTGAATATACCTTTGCGTGTGGCATAAGCTTGCATACTGTTAAGAAAAATAAAAATAAAAAAAGGTCAAAGTTGTAAAAACAGAGAGCAATCCCTAGTTTCCAATGGAGCTACAATTGAGAGGAAAATGACCCAATCTTTTATTACGGTGATGGACGCCTGAATATAGCTGAGTCTCTGATGACATATCATCGAGGGAGCCATGCTCGGGCCGTTGACTGACGCTACGCTGGAATCTAACACCAGAGCAAGAGAAGAGATTGTGCCCAAGCCAACAAACCAATCGAAGGATGGTTTCAACGGGACTGAATTCTTGTCGAAGCAATCGTACTTGTTCAAGTTCAAACTGAATTTGGGATCGAAGATTTGTAAAGCAAAGAGTCCTATAACGTCTCTTCACTATCGTGTTTTGATTTTTAGCCAATGGAGGTCAATGCTTGATATCTTGGAGTGGACTTTGGAGGCAATTGGGTATACTTACGGAAGGCTTGATGGAAGGTAACACTGCATTTCTATTTTGTGACTGCAACTCCATTTTGTGAGTAGGTTCTCATCTTTGAACTTGGATATGTCTGTCATCTAGCACACCCATATCCATATCTATATCTGTTGGACCTCCTTGCCGGCAAGGTACCGGCAGGGAGGAAGCCTCTGGAGCAAAAGGCCATTGCCTGCTCAAGGTGTTCATGGACAACAAATTCTACGCGATTGGAGATTAATTAAGAGTTGTTCATTGGTTGAATTTAGCATTAATTTCAGTTAAAGCGGTGTATTTTAATGAATATGTGTGGATTACAGTATCATATTATAGTTGCATTTGTGTCTATATAGGCGTATATGTAAATGAGTCTATATATATGCGTCATATTTAGGGTTTTATAAATGGTACTGTAAAAAAAATATCGATTTCATTCATGGGTTTTTTTAGTCTTTTTGCATTTTGTTTACTTGTCAATGTTATTTAACATTAAGGGAATAAGAATATAATCATAACTTCAAAGTTTCCGTTAACGGTATTAATGGACAGATTCAAACAGGGGTACCATGTGTAATTTTTTAAAACATAGGGGTACAGTGTGTAGGTTAACCGGTCGTGAAGGGGTCTAGTGTAATTTTCACATAAAAAATTTAACAATTCATAGATGTAGAAGTCAAGGGTAATAAATTTAGAACATCATTGTTTGTGAATTTCGATAAGTCTCATTTTATCAAGTTTATTAGCTATAAATAAGTGAAGGTCTATCTTTGAGTCAAATATTCCAACTTAGTTCTTTAGATAAACCACAATAATGGCCTTCGGATATTTTCAAGGGTAAGATTCACCATCTCTTAATATGCATAACTCACCTAATTTTTTTTTCCAGAAGTATAACTCACTTAATTTAGGAACCAATATTAGACAATGTGGGAGCCATCATTAGGGATCATTATAGCAAGATAGCAGCCTTCCATTGCCCTTGTAGCTACTCCACAACCTCCAATTCTATCTTTCTCTTTCCATAATAGGATCTCCCCCTCTCTCTTGTTCCCCTCCTAATCCTTCTAAACTGATAAATTTCTGACCCTCGTCACAGAAAGATGTACATATAATTTGTTCTCTCTGTGTATTTACATAAACGTAAAAATTTACATCCTTAGAGTTGAAAAAAAAAAAAAAAAAATCTTACAATTACACAGATAACCAAACTAAAATTTTACTTGACCTTATTTGAAATAGGTGAGGACACAATGGTTAAATATTGTCATAGTTTCAATTTGTCCCAAAAAAGTACGACTGGATATAGTGCAGTACAGCACACAATGATAAAAATGATACAACTGAATGTGATGCAAATGAAGTCATGGCAAAATAAATTTCATTTAATTGGCAAAGTTAATAATGATTTTGTGGTGGACAATACTGCTAAATGATAGGTTCGTGTCCAACGCACCTATTTCAGCACCTTGCAATCAGGAAAACTCTCATAATGGCCTTTTAGCCCCCATAAATGGCAAAATTTGAAAGAGAAATTTATGGAAGAAAAAAGCATAGAAAAGGTTTTACTCTTTAAAGCATTGATACACGGGATATTTCTATAAACAACAATAATAAGGAACTCACATAAAAAAATACAATATAGAACGAAAAGCCTTGAAAGTTTGTGGAAATATAAAAACTTCTAAAAAAATCATATATAATATATTTAAGTGAAAAATCATGTATTTTTGATGCATTCCAATTAAGAACAATTATTTCTTCCCTACCCATCTTTAAAATGTTGCATTACCTCAATACAAGCTAGGATAATAAGAATTAATGCCCAATGTCTGATGGTAGAGTACGTAAAAATCCCGAACTAGACCTAGAGGGGTGGTGATAGATCTTGAAAACTAAATAATAAAGTTCAAGCATTTTTTAAATTTCAACCTCCACTTTCAAAATTAATTTATCAATAACTAGATAAAGCTAGATGAGTGTAAAAATGTTAAGCTGCAAATCATCCACACACATGAACACCAATTTTTACATGGAAAACCCCATGGAAGACGACTAACCACCGTCCAGGCAGATCATATCAACTAACAAAAGAATGTATTGCACACTACGTTAACAGATTCTATATCCAAGAATCCCTTAGTTACCTCTGACCCAAACACACACCAAACGTTCTCCTCAAACTCAGATGCTGCCAGTCAACCACCCTGCTCCTCACGCAATCCACTCTGACCCATGCTTTAATCTCTAATGATTAGTCATGTCTGTTTTGGCTGTTTGTGGTGGAATTGATTGTGGTGCTGAAATCCTTGAAGCTCTGGGATTATTACGTTTTAATACTCATGAACACTCACCATATATACAAATGATGAATGAAAAAAATTCTAACAATTGGAGGTATCGGCCTCTTACTTCCCAAAGGGAGGTCAGGGGTTCAAGTCTCAAAAGAGACGTGTGTGAGTACCAACTAGGAAAGAAAAAAAAAGGTTTCATGGAAGCATAGGGTTTTATATAGACCATGGAGGCTGAAAAAGATCAGGGTAAAAAGAGTTTGAATCAGATTTGGAAATTGTTGTCTTGCAACTTTAATCAATCAGTTGAACCTAGTCCGGTGAACTTCAAAGTCAATAAATTTAGCAGGTTTGACACACTACAACTGAGAATAACTAATTTATTTACCCAACTTTAATTGTTAGATTCCTCTATCTCTAAGGCCCATTGCTTGGTGCAATGTTAAAAATTCAGGCTTTCAGAAAGCATACCCAAATAGAGAAATGCTTTTTCAAATAATTGTCAAACATTAGGTCCGTAAAAATGTCCAGCAGGGTTAACAAGAAATAATACTAGATAAAAGCCTTTTAATGGACTCAATCCAAGTTATAGATCAGAACATGAATTGCTTAATTTTAGCTAGCATCTCAAGTTCTCAACTGACAGTAATGATACAATCAGTTTTTAGATTTGTTTTTGTCCAGATAATCGAGGCAAAAATGATACAGTATTGCATTCACCTCATAAATTGTTTGTTGCTAACATGAGACTCAAGCAGACATGTATTGAAGCATGGCCTATAACACTTCAATACATGAATATCCTTCAATTTTGATGCGGATCTGTCGGCTACAAATTGGATGATTGTGAAACTAATACCCCAACTGCTTTAGTAAATATTAATATTGTCGGCATTGACCAGAAGGATAACCCAAGAACCCTCAATTAGGGAGTTAGAACCAATTGACCTTTTATTGAGGTACATATCAACCCGCGAAGACTTGTGCTTGTTTGTAAGGGTGAACTAATCACCCAAGTAATAAAATTCCAGAGTACATCTTTCAATCACTCTTAAATTTTACATAGTTTTACAATCATACATATACATTAAATCTAGACATTTCTTAATCCATCGGCATTAAGTATTGCTAAATCTTCAAGAAATTTAAAATTAAAAGCATTCTTACAAGACTAATAATTTTTTACCAAATAAAAAGTTTGACGTTTCCAACAAAAACCCTAGTTGATCGACATGAACGAGCTGACCTTATGCTTCGGCTAAATAAGCCATTTACTCCTATTACAACCAACCAAACAAAGTGGGTACGGCCAGCTGGAGCGGACATTATCTCCATGCTTGCATCAGATGTGTGCTCACAATAGATTTATCATGCTTTAAATCCTGAGTATAGCTTCATGTATGGATGCAATTTAATACTCTAAAAGGAAAGTGATTTCAATATCTACTGGAGGAGTGGCAATGAAGATTTATCTCTAAAAAGTTATTTTCACCTCTACAACGAGATGAAAAGGCACTAGAACTAAAATCTTTTTAAAAAGCAAGAATCGGGAGAAAAAAAAAAATATATATATATATATATTTCTTTTCAGTTCACGTGCTACGTTCTTAGGCAGTGTCGATGAGCTCTATGGAACATCATTGCCATCATAAACATTTTATCTAAGCATACTATTCTGAAATGAAGCAGGGATAGTCATGCATCATGATTCATGCACCACATTCCACAACAGCACAGCTAGAACTAAATTCCTCCTAGTTTAAATTAGAGAGATTAGGGCTAAACACTTCCTTAGTATCATTTTCTCAGAAAATCAAGAAAGTTCAAACTACCTGGTTACAAATAGCTGATTGTTTGTTGGACACAAGACAAGACTTCTCAGCTTTCTCTTGTGTTGACTAGAGACGAGACAAGCCACCTGGCAATGGATTGTAAAAGGAGATGAACGACTATTGATCAAGGGAATCAATTCCTTGTGCTCCTTCTGCTCTGCAATTAATGAAAATTATGAAGATTAATATAACCCACGAAATATGAGAATTCAAATAACACAGAATTATCAAACACATGCACAGACAGAGAAAGCTAACAGGTGAAAGAATTACCAAACTTCCTTTTTGTCCCTTTAGCCTGAATTTCAACTACTTCCTGCTCAGAAGAGTTTCTATTAGAATTTTCCCGTTTTACTTTCACAGCACTATCATTGTGACTGGAGACTGATGTACCAGCTCTACCACTGGAGCTCACTAAAGCATTCACGCCAGATTCTGCCATTTTTGTAGATTGAGAAATTTTTGGATTCACAGCAGGAATTACAAGCTGAGGTCTAGATTGCAGCTGTCTTTTAGAAGAAGCTTCATTGATCTGCATAGGGCTAGTCGATCTTCGCTCAACTTTGACCTCTTTAATATTATCTCCCAAGGAATATTTGGATGGTGTTCCATTGTCCCGGCCTCGAAGACGAGCCAACTTAAATTGTGTATCCTCTAACCTCCTCTCTGCTTGCTCAAGCTGCATGCTTTTTCGGAGGAGATGATTAGCTATATTTTGTCAACAAAGATACAATGGTGCTTAACTACTAACAAGTATATGTTATTCCCATTTTAAAAACAATCAAAGGCTTTCATCCTCTAGTAAGTACAGACCATTAATTCACACACCACTAAGTAGTAACCATCTATAACAGCATGTCCAACGTGCACTATGAAAATCTGTAAAGTTCACAAGAGAATTCCCATATTCTATTTCAAATCCACAAAAATAGAATTAACATGGATAGTAAACAGATGCAATCTGACCTTGATGACTGAAAACAAAAAATAAAAAATGAAGCTTAGAAATACACGGAAACCCTTGTGACTCAATGAATAATGACAAGCTTGAAGTGCATATATTTTCAAACATTTAAATGTGAAATAATGCTGAATTACGTACAGACCAAATAGGTATTTGTGGTATAAATATAGCAAAGTAATGAAAATATAGAACTTCAAATATGTTATGATGTTATCGGTTCAACTAAAGGGCTACAAAAAGCAAAACAACTTCAAGAATTCATTTTTGTAATGGTAAAAAGTAGGCCAAATTCCTATTATCATTTGCTTTACACGTTGTCATGCATGCAACATACATCAATGTATGTTAAATCACTTTTTCCAAGTGGTGCTTAATGTTTTACTAATTTCCATGATTATCTATTAGAATCACTTGAAAAAATAAAATACACCTGCCCAGAGCAGTCTAATTACTTTAAATTTTTAAATAAAGTTTCATACTTAGAATTTTTTTTCAGAATAACTTCTCATTTGCATAATGAGACATACCCCTTCACTTTTCATGCAACATTCACAACATAAGCAATGTAAGTCAATATAAAGAAATATACAGTACAGTCATTAGCAATATCTTCATATAAACACAGAGTTCACACTTGGGGTCGCTTGTTTTGAATTTCATATCCAGTTATTATATCAAAATCTCACAACATGATCACCATAAAAATGAGATTAACAATGAAGAGCAATTGGAAAGTTAACACCTCATAAAACAATCATATCTAACACCTCATATTGAACTTGCCAAAAGCAGCCAGTTTACTTCAAATGTTTATAATACCTTTTCAATCCTCTACCTCCATCGCAAACTAATACAAAATTGTAACGCTGTCATTCTCACATTCTTTTTTCAAGCCGCATTCGTACAGTAAGAAATATAAGTCAATATACACAAATGTATAGTACCACCTTCAACACTATTTCATATAACATAAAGTTCAAAACTTGTCTAGCAGCTGGCTATGATTTCAAATTCAGTTTATACATCCAAAAATCTATCAAAAAATTCAAAGTCACCGAAAAAATGAACTTAACTATTAAGAACTAGAGCTAGATTTTCTTTATCTTTTTTTGGGTAAGTCAAAACTACTCCAAGAATCAAGATGAACACCTCATACCACAATAAATTCCAGGATTTAATCTTACATAGAAGAACCCAAATTAAGAACATACTCAGTTGAAAACACATCACATAAAACAATACTCTTATCATAGAAATGGCACAAACACATTTGTATATATGATCGAATGAATACAAAAAATCAAAGAAAACCCAGAAAAGAATGAAGTGTTTAGTGATTGTTTATAACCTGGGATTTGTAATAGGAGATACGCTGGCGGAGATGTTCGACTTCTTTGGTTCGGTGCTCGGTCAGAGCCACCAGAGCCTCTTCTTGCTCGAGTCTGTTGTTCTCTGCTCCATTCTCGTCGGCCATGGTGGCCTCGCCGTCCGATTCTTCTCTCTCTATCTTGGGTTCTTAGGAATCGAAGACGCGCTCATTCGGGTCGGTTTGATCTGTGTATTTTATATATATATATATAATAATGAATTAGTGTCGTTTGCTCTATAGTCTATACATAGAAGATTAATCTATTATGATTTGAAATCAATAATCAAGATGAAGAAAAAGAAAGAAAAAAATATATTCACATCAAGATTAAGAAATAATCATTGTGATTTATTGAGGACTATTTCTGTCTTTTCATATAGTTTTCCGATCAGATCACTTACAGTCTGTAGTATTTTTTATTTTATTTTATTTTTTCTGTGATAAATAAGACTTGCCCCTATTACTTTTTAAATCTTTGTGCGACTTGATTTTCTATACAAACCTAGGGTTACAAGAAAGAGTTTTGTCCCACCTCGGATTTCGATAAGAGAGTGATTGAGTATATATATATATATGAATTGAGTGTTAGTCCCGCCTAAAAACTTAAATTTTAAGTTGAATTGGAAAGCATCCATCCGTTACAATTGATATCAGAGTCAGATTCAATCCTTAATCTGGTGCCCGCTTGACTCAGGTGTGTTTGGGTGAGCCACTCCAGGTAGGCAAGGTGGCACGACCGCAACAAAGGCATTACGAGTTTAGATTGGAGAAATTTATCCCACATCGAATCTAGATGAGAGTGATTAGATATATGCCCCACCTAACAATAGATTAGGCTTTTAGATCAAATCGCAAAGTACCCACCCGTTATACTTTAGCATAATGCCTAACTGCACAAATGATGACGATGTATGGGGTAAATGATGGCAATGTATGGTGTTTATGGTAGTTGAATGATGCATTGGATATGGTTTGAGAGAAAACTATGGCAGGAATCCAATTTGGAGAATGTATAGATAGGTTTCAACTTGGGAAGCGCTGACACTTTTGGAAAAGCAACCAACTTGTACTGAATACGTGTTATACTCCATGGATATTTGTGAATACCAATACTTTATGAAACTTACAGATATTTGTTGGATACATTTTAAATGTATTTATAATTTTAAAATATATATTTTAATTTATGACACGTATTTGATATTTTTCAATACTTTTTAGGTATTTCTATTACGTATTTAACACTTTTCAAACACTTCATAACTTATTTTTAAGACGTTAAAAATAAAATGGAATTTTTACAACAATAATAACATAGAATAATTGTTAAGAAAAGTACAAATTTTATTAAGTGATGACTAAGAATGCTTATTTTATGTATTGTGAAAAGAACTTCTATATAATATTAATTTTTATTTATATGAGATTAGAGATGACTAAGAATGCTTATTTTATGTATTGTGAAAAGAACTTCTATATAATATTAATTTTTATTTATACGAGATTAGAGTGTTTTTCCGAGATTAGAGTGTTTTTCCTTGGAGATGGAAAATTTGCCCAAAGACAAAAAATGTTAGAAGTTAGATTAATAAATGCAGAGAGTCGAAGGCATTTAGATTAATAATATTTTTAAAATTTTGATCAAAAATTAATATTTTTATATATAAAAAACTAAAATTTATTTATTTTTTATTTGTATTTTATTTTTTTAAGATCTATCATATTATCGTATTCATATTGTATCATATCCGTATCGCGTAGCCATATTTATCAAGATCGCAAAATCTAGTCATATAGGATAACTTAAGATACCAATAAAAACATAATTTTTCATGACAAACCCTATCTTTCGTACTTTTTTTAAAGTTCTCAAAAACTATTTTGAGAATACTGTTGGTCCAGAAAGTTTTATTGTTTCTCTAACGTCTAAGTACATCATTTAAAACAAAAATATATTATTTTTATTAGTAGTTGAATTTAATTAATCACTCCATGTTAGTTTCTATCCCGTCCTCCCCAAGATATGAGGAATTATTGGATGGTCCACGCTTATAAACACTTAGGATTATTCAATTAGAAAAATGGCTCCACAAGAGTTTAAAAAAAAAAAAAAAAAAAAATCTCAATAACGATCTGATTTTAACTGATCCTCACAAGTCAAATGGACCTAAACCATCTAATAATTTATTCCAAGATACACTTCTTTTTCTTGAGTTTATTAAATTAGTATGTTTGTGTAACAATATAACTACTCACTTTAATTTTATTTAGGGTGAAGTGCAAAAATAAAAATTCCAAACTATTGATCTTTTATAAATAAACCTCCTCAACTATAAACTGCCCCCATGAGCTAATAATTTATCGCGAGTAAATGACAAACTCATCACAAAATACTATTTTACATTTTCATTAAATTTGTTATTTTTTATTAAAATATTTTTATTATCTTTTCTTTTATCTAAATATCTATTATATCATTTACCTTAATGTTATTATGAGGTGAAATTTATTATAAGAATATGAAAGAAAAAAGAGTTGTATGATTAACTTATTATTAAAACTCTATTATTTATACTAAAACTTATTATACTCGGTTTAAGCTTTTTTACCATAAAAAATACCTTATTTTTCTACAATATATTCATGAAAATTAATAAATTACTTAAATAAAAATATCTTCTTTTTTCATACAATGTATCCATGAAAAATTAAGAAATTACTTAAATTGTTAAAAATATTACTTAAGATTTTTATTTAAATAATTAATTTCAAATATTAAAGTAAATTTATGCAAATTTAATGAACAATATGTCATCAAATTAGTATATATTTTTTCATAATTTATTTTTTAAAAAATAGATAAAATATAATTAAATAAGAAAGGGCATGGGCACATTTTTTTCAAAATGTGATAACTATGCAAATTCTTCAAAGAATGATTTGCAAATTTAGACACAGGTGTTTTCTTTTTAAATTTTAGAAAGTAGTAAATTCTATACTCGAATTTTGGCTCGATCTGTTTTCTCTGCAATTTCCTACCTAGTATAGCATTATCATATTTACTTTTTTAATCTATTAAACAAAAATTTTGTTTGATGATCATGATTTATCCAGCCTGGATAAATGGCCTTTTTCATATGTTGTGTGACAAAAAATATGTTTGGATGTTACAGGTTAACATCTTGACAAAGATGAATACAAATTTAAATAATTCAAAAATAGATATATAACCAAGCAATAAATAAAAAATATATTTTTATAAAGAATTACTCTTTCAGTCTCAAAATAGGTGTCCATCTGGGTCCAGATGGACACCTACTTTGGAATGGAGGAAGTATGTAAATTGAAGGTAGAATTGATTTCTATACTCAAGATAAATTTTGCCTTCAAATAGTTATTGAATATCGATTGTCTTGCAGTAACAACCGTCTTTCGAAATACTTGAGAAGTCCAACACCGGCTTGACACTACGGGAGCTAGTGTTCTACCAATTAGTCATTTAGGCCACTGAGTTATGCCCAATCCAATGGAGGACATCCCACTTTTATCACTTTTAACCATATTATATGAGCACTTTGGATCCAATTTATGGAGAAAATAATTTTAAGCAAATAAATATACTACATTCATTTATTCTCGAAGAAGAACGCTTCATTTATTCTCGAAGAAGAACGCGATCTAAAATGGTTCTGCCTTGAATGGTTAGTGGGGCTCCATCTAATTTTGACCCAAAGTAGCTTGGTCAAAACCAAATTATCAGCAACATATGCTTCAATGTTGTAACTTATATCTATACTCTCAATCAACTGAAAAAAATTGACCTCTTGGCACCTTTCAACCGATTTTTTTATCGTTCAAATAAGATAATTTGAAATTTCTCAACATTAATATATATTCATTTGTACATATATTCAGTTAACCTTTTGAACCAAATAACTGTTCGATGCAATGAAAAAAATAAAAGAATGCAAATGATCGGCTGAAATTGAGTCTTCAGCTCAAGTCCCCATAGAATAAAGGTGGATATGTGCATGAGTCTCTTTGAGAGAATGTATTTGTAACGTAATCTTATCTTCGCATGCGAGCTTTCATATTTTGAACCTGTGACCTCCAAGTCACAGTAGAACAACCTTATAAGTCAATGGAAGGAAGAAGGTCAAGAAAACTCTGCACCAAATAACTTTTCGATTCAATGAAATAAAAAGAATGCAAATTATCAGCTGAAACTAAAGTCTTTTAGCTCAAAACCCGTAAAAATAATGGTGGATATGTGCGGGAGTCTCTTTGAGAGAATTTTTGGTCGCACAACAAATTGGCACTTTGGGTAAAGAAAGGGTAAGATGTACTGCAATCTTACCTTCGTATGCAGTGAAGTTATTTCTATATGTCGAATCTGTGACCTCCACGTCACAATGGAGCAACCTTATAGTTGCACCACGCTCGTCCTCTTTTATGGAAATTAGATAAAAGTTGATAATAACCATCACAAGTCTACCAAAGGAAGAAGGTCAAGAAAACTCTGTTGTACCACAACAGAAAAAATTAATAAATGAACTTCGTATTTGGGCCCAAATTCATTGTTACATACATATATATACACATGTAAAATTTCTTTTCAGAAGAAGAAAACATACAGAACTCTCACGTCTCACCTTCATAGCCATGCTTCTAATCTTTTGATCCAATGCTGATAGTTGTGGGTTTGTCTAGATGGATCACTGCTAAGCAAAAGCTTAGAAAGTGACTAAGCTGAGGCAACCTCCTCATTCATACATCAACTTACTCAGAATCCATAAAGCTGTAAACCAGTTACCATGTCATTGTTTTACTCTTAAAGTCTGCAATGGTCAATCAGGAAGCCGCAATTCACTATGATGACCTTCTTATCGTTCCCTTGGATAATGCAAAATTACACCATCCTATTTCCGAATCATGAAAATCAAAAGACATTGTTCCTTGGTCTGCAGAATCACATCCTTATCGACAGCCAATAAAATAGGCTTCTCTATTGGAAATTCACTCAAAAAAAATGGTCCAGCTGATTCATCTACGCGTAGTAGTAAGATATCAAGCAACAAGATCGACTTCGTCACGATCAGGAGGAACCACATCTATTCTCATCATACTCCTATATTGATCTGGAACAGGTGCCCCCGCTTGCACACACAGCTCAACCACGGCTGGTGCCTTGCCATAATACCTCTTCAGGTTGTTATTCAATGCAGGCCCATGCAAGTCGCGCACATGCCATACGTAGTTGGGACCCACAAGATCATCGATTGTTGCTTCCTGCCATGCATGCAGGCCATTGCGAGACTGGTGCTTTGACGCTTTACACATTCTTACTTTGTGTCCCTTGGGCCCTACCTGAACCTCGGGGCAATATCCACAAGTATGCACCTTATACTTCTCCATGATCGTCTTAGCCCCTGATATCATCTCAAACCATGACTCTAGTGTTACAATACTTATATCCCTCAAGCTCTTTCCTTCCCCAGAGTCAACTTGCACCTCAGGATTAGTAATATTCTCTAGATTTGAACTTACAGGCACTCCTCCTTTCCCAGAATCAAGTTCTCCAGGGACAGTACGGTCTGCAGAATCCAAATTTGAACTCATTTCATCTGTTTTACTCTCCACCTCAAAATCTACAATTCTTCCTTCAATACAATAAACAGGCTTTGTTCTTCTCCTTGTAGGGAAATTATCAAGCTCTAGACCAGCTTGTATGCAGAGCTCTACAATGGCAGGAATTCGCTTGACACCACGCCTCTCATCATGTCCAACTCTTGGCTTTCCAACACGGTCAGAGAGATGGAAGCATTTAGGAAAATAAACCAGATTTTGAACTCCGCCCTTTCTCCAAACGTGAGTTGCACAATGAAAACCACTCTTTGGGGCAGTGCAAGTCCGAATTTCATGACCCACATGGCCAATGTGAACCTCAAAGCAGTACCTGAGAAGGGAAATGGCATAAAGATTAGCATATGAAATGTCTAATGCACGAGTAACAACGATTGGTTTAAATTAATACTTCTACAGCTGAAGCAAGGAGTAGATTAGTCTTTGGTAAAATTGATATAACGAGTATGCTTATTGGAGAAAGTTTAACAAACTTCCCAGCAGCAACCTTGAAAATTCCTTTAAAGGAGTAAAACAGAGTTATTTAATTTGCCCGAGGATTTGCAATTAATTTTCTTTTTTTGGAGGGGGAGGGGGTGGTGGGGTGACTATTTTGTTTGTTAGAAGCAGCAGGCAAAGCATTTCTCATCATCGCTGTAAATGGTTTTAAGGTGTGAATCTTATATTGCAGAAGCCATGTTGTAGCGGACTGTAAACCTGCTTTAATCTACACATCTTGAGATTCTTGTCATAACAAAATGGAGAAGATTAATGGATGAGATGCTTCAAACATTGTCTAGGGCCAAAAACTACGTCACAACAGGTTAGGGCATTGGCTTCAGCATCACTGGACTATTTGATGGGAAAGTTTTTTTTTATTTTTTTTTTTATTATTATTATATTCAGAGATTCCTACATGGTAAAAACTTGCTCAGAAAAGTGAATGAAATAGACTTCTCTCAAAGCTAACACCCAAATCTCTTAGTACAAAATATCAATAGTGATCAAATGGTTGAAATATTGAAGATACCATAAATATATATGTGTGTGCATATATATATATTTAAGCACCTAATAATTCAGAGATTTTTATATGGAGTTGATGGAAGGGCCCTTATCCCAACACCTCTAATTTGTTGTGCACTTCTTGTCAAGATTGGAGATGAAGATAACTATAAAAAAGTTGGAGTTTGAAGATCCATCAGCTTTCTAAAGACTCACTAAGCGTTGGCCAAAACACCAATAACCTAGGAATTCCAATATTATTATATACTCCAAAAACATAAAATATTTTTATTCAGCAACACAAGACTGGATGATCCAAAATTATTTTTCTTGCTATTTCCTTAGTTATTCTTTTAAGAGACGAAGAACAAAAAAGGACCTAAGCAAATTGAGAGATCAAGACATACTAATTACACTTATGCCATGTTTGGTTGGAGGGAAGGATTGAGAATTTGAGGAGGGATGGATGAGAGGGGGGATAAAAGAGTTTTTCCGTGTTTGGTTGAGGGAAGGGAAAAGAGGGAGGAATCATCCCTCCTTGCTTTGTATTTTTCTATCCGCATGAAATCGGGGGGAAGAGGAGAGAGAAAGAAGTTATAGTTAGTAATTTCCATTTTTAACCTTACCAAAAATTTGGAATGAATATCTAGTTTTTATAATTTTATATAATGAATATATATTGGTAAAAAGAATATAAAACCCTCTTTCCCTTCCTTCCAACCAAACAAAAAAAAGTGTCACCTATGCATCCTTTCTACTATCCATTCTATCCAACCAACAAAAAATGAGAGAGACACCTTCCCTTCCCTAGGAATGCCTCATCCATCCCTTCCCCTCTCCCTTCCATCAATTTTTCCATTCCTTCAACAAAACAGAGCATTAGTTTAGTGTTGTTATATGCTCCATTCCAGCATAATAAATTCCTTATCACTACATAAGTAACTTGCACACTTTAAGAAATACTAATTTTCATATATGACTGAAAAGATAAGCACTCTTCCAACTAGAACTAATCCTAACATTCCATCCGTATGATCCATAAAGTCCTTATAACTATCATAACAATCCAGTTCAGGTAACATTCATCCACCCTTACCTCTTGCCAATCACAAATTATTCCTCTTTTTTTCAACTAAAAAAAGGGTACACACGAGCTATAAAAAAAGGCTAATATAGCTTCAACTATTCCGACCTTTCTATTGCATGAGATTTACAGCATAAAGAGCACAATCTAATACCATAAAAACCATTGTAAATATTTGAGGACACACACAAAGGATTTAAGTTGTAAATATTTGAGGACACACTCTTTATCGCCTATTTTAGTACAATCCATAACTTGCAAACGAAGCAACAACTACAAACTTGAATGGTGAAACTGAAGCAAAGAAACAAACAAAAGGGTTGTATACTTTTACCTGCATCGTTGAACAGGAATGACATCAATGAGCTTTGATATGCCAAGTATGAGTGACTCTCTAGCTCGGTAGACTTGGTGAGCCACGTCGACGAGTTCGGGAATGAGTACGCCATTATCTGGCGGTTCATCAAGAATTCTACAAGGCTGGGCCTTTCTAGCTTCTCTCTCCTCCTTCGCCTTCCGAATCAAAATTTTCATAGGAGTTGGGTATGGTTTCCTCTCGGACTTTGTCCTAGGAGGCTTCGGTACATCGGCATAGAGTGGATCATCTCCTTCTCCTACCCCTAAACTAAGGGCTCTCCCAGTGGTGTAGCAAAAATCTGAATTAACTCGTAAAATCAATGCCTTGAAACAGGGAATTTCAGAGAGTATCCTTCGATGCATCACTGAATCTAGCGTACTCAAATAGTGGTAACTGCCTTTCCACTCTCATAAACAAGAAACTGGCCTAAATATTAAATTGAAATTTGCAGCATTTGAGAAATTTTCAATTTCTCTCTCACAAACTAAGGGGCCATTAAGTAACCGGAATTGTTTTCTATTTTGCAGTCACGCAAATGTAAAATCAGTGATTCAGGCCTTCTGGAGCTGAAACAGAAAGCAAAATCAAGTTCAGTAATATTCCTAGAAATTTGAAAGCCAAAAACAGAACGAGGGTTTAATAATTGTGTTTTTGTTTTCGTTTTCTGAATTGGGAACAATTGTTGACTTAGAAGTTGCATTAGAGACCTGAGATACTTTTTCTTTCATCAGTCCATGATGCCAACAAAATCCTTATATTATTACAAATCTTGGTTGCACGTTTGAAATATAGCTAAGACGGTGAAACTGCTTGTTTGGTATTAATTCGTGCTGGCTTTGCTGTTCTTGATTGCTACTAATGGTGTTGAGGCTTCAAGGGTGTCTTGCATTATCACGAGCCAGTGCATCACAGGAGGTCCTGTGTGTAATGAAATTGTCCCTCCTACGACAATTAATTAGTGTGAAAAAGAAATCCATTACACACCTCTTATATAAATATGAGAATATGGTCAGAAAGAGTATAAAATTCATAAAATGATTTATGTCAATTGTCATTACAAAAATTAATCTAGTCAAGGGAAAAAAAGGAAGTTGCTATTGGAAGGAAGGTAATTGCATGTTACAATTATCGCGAGGAAACAAAGGAAATGCAAGAAGAGAGGTTTATGCATAAAAAAATTCAATTGATGGAATTCTATTCATAGGAGGATAAAAAAAAGTAGCAAGCCAAAAAAAATTAAATTAGCATGCATCTAATTTAAATTACTGAATACAAAAATGGAAAATCAGGTATGAAAAAAACTGGAAAATAGGGGGGAAAAGGAAAATTTCAAGAAGAAATTAATTAAATTTCACCTTCTCGATAGGGAGGTATAAAATTAAGGAGCAAAAAGGGAATAGAAATTTATTAAAACATAAAAATGAATATTTAATCAAAGTCTAGGGTACCATTTGCAATCATACGCAACACATAGAAAGACTATTTCTAGGGCTTATCAACTTTCAATCCTAACTACTGACCAATGTAAAAGTATTTCCACTCACAGCCATGGAAATTAGTATTAATTGAATGATCAAATGACTGCAAATTAAGCTTGAAAATTGGTGCTGCACCAAAAGAAGGTAACCTAATTACTGCCAAGACAGAGATGGAGAGCATCCTGGTACCATAACCCCAAAGTTTTCATGGGAGAGGAACCTGAAAGAACACATGTCTGAGTACATTTCGCCAACCCATAAGGCAACAAACCCAGTAACAACATTGTTCCTTTCATGTTATAGATTTGAGATGGGAGAACTTACCAAGAAGTCTTCGTCTCCGGTAATCTCCGTCGCCGTCGATAATGGCTGGTGGTTACCTGTAATGTCGCCAGTCGTCTCCGTCGTATTTTTAGAGAGAGAGAAGGAGGTAGAGAGAGAGAGAGAGCGGTGAGCCGAGATGCGAATGCGATCCTTAATTTGAAGGCTGAAGTAATTTAAGTGCCGCTACAGTGGGCCCACTTCTGTTATTATTTTTTTTATATAAAATAAATAAATAAATTTTTTTCAATAAATAAACTTTGTTCATCAATAATTTTTTTTTTTTTGCCGTGAACATTTAACACCATTATAGTATGCATATACTTCATATAACCCTCTACAGGTTCCAAAAACTCCCAACTTTTATTTGAAGAACGAATAAAGACTTCTCCTCATTCGGTCGTTAATAGAGCGATAAAAATACTAAACTATCATTCCTATTATCGAAATAAAAATAGTAAAAAATTTCGGTTAATATAAAATGACTATTATGACCTTTATTAAACAAATTTAGAAGGGCATTTTTGGTATTTAAATAGTAAAAACTAGTAAACACAATTCAATTACTGTAAAAATTCAATTAAAAAATAGTAAAAAAAATCAGTCAAAGAAGGGTGAAGGGTATTTTTGATATTTAATACAATTAATTAGTCACGTGCGAGACACATGATTTGTTAACGGTATTTTTCTAACAGTTGACTGCCGAAAAGTTCTAATTTGCAGCATTTTCAAAATTTTAAGGGAACTAATATACCTGAAGTAAAAGAGAAGAGTGTTATTTGCTTAAAAAGTAAACCTTAGGGCTATTTTATATATTTAGTCCTTTTTTTTTTTTTTTTTTCAATCAAAGAGAACAAAATATATAGAGAATAATTACCTAGCATATCTAATCACATTTTTTTTTTTTTTTTCAAGGCAAGAAATATTAGAAGTTAGATTAGTAGATGCAGAGAGTCGAAACTTGGCACTCCAAAGTTCACCGGAGGTATTAACCCACTATACTAAGGATGGCAACGGGGCAGGTTTGGAGTGGGTTTCCCTAAATCCCGCCCCGCTCCTTTTAATTTTTGTCAAGTCCATGCCTGCCCCGAGACCCACAACGGACTGGATTTTCATGTCCAGCCCCGCCCCGTTAGGAAATACTGTGCCCCTGTGCCCGCCCCGCTAACAAATTTTTTTCTCCCAATTTTTGGAACTTAAACTCGTGCTATTTAAATGTGCAAAGCCTAGGAATGATACAACATAAATAAAATTATGTATCCCAACAAAAATTAAAAAATAACATGCACATAATATAATTCAGAGAATATAATAAACAAAAATAAAAGTTTAATACAACCAAATCACAAGAAGTTCTAAACTCCAACTTCCACCATAACCAAAACAAAAGCAAATTTAATACCAAATTTATATCCCAAATTGGAATTGTAAGAGATGGGTAATTGGGTAAGCCGCTAAAATAACTTATATATATATATTAAATATAGTTATATGCGGAGCGGGGCGGGGCCTCTAGGATATGTATACTGAACCCTTACCCGCCCCGTGATCCTCGACGGGTACAAAATTTGTATCCATGTCCGCCCCAACGGTATAAAAAGTGTTCCCATATCCGTTATTAATGGGGCGGGGCAGTAAAAATTGACATCCCTACACTATACTATCGAGGCATCTGCATAACTGGACACATCATGGAGCAAGATTTTCTTACCAATTTTGTTGCTTATTAGTTTTAATTTTTTTTTAAATAAATGAATATTTTTTTAAAAAAAATAAATAAATAAACTTTTTCACTTTGTTAGTGACTAATGTGACCGTCGTTGAGATAAACATTTTAGAGAAGAGAACCCCTACTCTTATATTACATTGATGCGAGCCCTAGTTAAAAATTATTTAGGAATATATATTGGGTGTGCTGGGTGCATGATGCACTGGCTCATTCGAGCCAAACATACATAACATGCGCCCGCGCTTGCATAACACAAACAACTCGGATGAACCTAGTGCACCGAGCGTACCCAATATGTAATGTCCCAGATTTTTCAAAATTTTTATTTAATTTATTTTCATGCCTCGTTTGCATGCCATGCGGGACTCGAGGGTCGTTTAAGTTATTTTCTCGAGCCGAGTGTTTTAGAAATGTATTTTTAATTGTTTTAAGTCAAATTAGAAATGACGGTGTCGTTTTTAGAATTTTTCGGAAGTCGGGACGATTTCTGAGCTCGGGAACCTCTCCTGATTTTGCCATTAAATAGAAGGGCGTTGTGGACATTTTTCATATATAAGTATATGTGTATCTATAGGTTAGAGGAAGATATTTATGGAACAAGGGAGGTAATGCATGGTTTAAGGGAAAGCATAATGGTAACTTTACATGAATTAGAAACCATAAATGGTTGACACTGGCACTATTAGGGCCATGGAATGAATAGAAAGACAAGCCAAACCCTTTCTTCTCCTTCATTTTTCGAATCTTTCCTGCTCTCTCTAGTTCTTCCTCTCTCTCTCTCTCTCTCTATATATATATATATATATATATATATATATATATATATATATATACACTTATATACTACCATACTTCAAGCTCTAATTTAGAAGGTTTAAAGTGTGAGTTTGAGGAAGAGCAAGAGAGTTTTACTCCACTTGACGAGGGCTTCCATTTGACATCCATCTTGCAAGGGGTTAGGGATTTCGAAAATTGGGGGCTAGCTAGGACTTGTTTGGCTAAGCATCTTTGAGGTAGTGGCTTCCTAATGCCTTGTACTTTGACTTTCATTGAGGTATCTTGCTTTGTTCTACTATGGATTTCATATTGAATGCATGACTATGATTATATTGTTAGCTAAATGATGATGATGATGTAGTAATGTGAGTTAAACATGCTTATATGTAATGAATATAATGCCTTTCCATGCTAATTGTTAAGTGCTAACTTAGTTGAGAAGAAGTGAATTCCATGATGAGCATGTTTGTGTTAAAGTATATAAATTGCCTCACATTGGGGAGTATGCAATGGTGATGTTTAAATTTTATAAAATGCCATGTTGAGTTGAATTGCTAGAGAATAACATATTCATGCCATTGTTGTATTTTTAATGGAATTTTCAAATTCAGGACATTGGTACATATGTATGGCATGATAGGGAAAGGAAAGGAAAAAGGGGTATGAAATGAAATTTTTATAAAAGTAACTGGATTTCATGAGTTCGGTGCTAACTTGACCTAGAGGGAGCGCGTGCCGGTTTAGGACGCATAAAGTTGATTACTATTCCCCAAATAGTCGTCAGTTTAGAGGCTATGGATAGCTAATTGTAATGACTCGGATTTTCACGGATATTTATTTTTCCGTTATCTTTCCTTTCTGAGTTCAGTTCCTCTTCGCTTAGTGTCGTCTCGAGTGCTCTGGAGTGATTTCCGAGACTCTTTTCTGTGGATTAACAACTTCCTTTGAGGACCAAGTCGTTTCCACATTTTTCGTTTTTCGACACTATTTATTTTTCGTCCTTTTCCCTATTTCGTCATTTTCCCTATTTTGTCTTTTCCCCGTTTGACACTTTGTTGGCATAACCACACTTCTTGTGTTCGAAGTTAGTTTTTGACTTCATGTATTTCCATCTTGAGTGATTTCCACGAAATAAGTATCTTTACTTTTGCAAGAAAGTACTCTAGTTGCTCCCGGTGTCTATAGGGGCATGGATGCAAAGTTCTTTGAAATTATTTTCCTTTCTTGGGGTGTTTTTCTTAAATATCTTTTGAAGATATTTTATTTCAAGGATTTTTAAGAAAATATTTTTGGAAGATATTTTCATTCTGGCCATTAGTGCAGTTTTCACTTTTTGGAGGGGCCATTGTACAATTAATGAAAGTTATTGCTAAATGCCTTGTTTTGAGCCTGAATCCTCGAACGGGATTCATTTTCACTTTTCATCAAGTTGTGTACTCTTAGAAATTCCTTCTGGTCATTGTTTTCCAGTTTCAGGGTTTCTGGCCCCGGTTAGCGCCAAACTTGTTTGGGGTATAACTTTCTGCTCGTATAACGACCCACTCCACGACATGGTATGATATTGTCTGCTTTGGGTTTGAGCCCGCACGGTTTTGCTCTTGGTATCAGAGCTTAACCCAGCCGGAAGTGTGCCGACGGGGACGTCGAGCCTCCAAGGGGGGTGGATTGTGATGACCTTGTGGGCGGGTGTGCCGTGGGCGGGTGCAAGAGACACTGTCAGGCTACCACACTGGCGAGCTACGGGTACACAAGTCCCACATCGCCTGGGTAGAGGAAAGGTGAAGTGCTTATATGTAAGTGTGTCACCTCCAATTGGTATGAGGCCTTTTGCGGTGAAGCCTAAGAGCAAAACCGTGTGGGCTCAGGCCCAAAGCGGACAATATCATACCATGTGGTGGAGCGGGTCGTTACAGCTCGGGACTCGGTTTTTGATACTATTTCTTCCATTATTCATATTTTATCATTTTGAATATTTTTCGTTGACAGAGTTTTATCATTTGAGCGCGTCTGCTCAAATTTCACTTTTTAGGACCAGGCGGGCCCGTTCGGGGCACTTTTTGAGATTTCTATAATAGGAGGGTGAGATATTTTATTTTTTCATCTTTCCCACTCTCTTGCACGACCTAAAGCTTCCATGGCAGCCCAAGGGAGGCTGCCACCTTCTCTCTCCTCTTTTGAGCTTCATTCCTTCGTTAGAACATAGAAGGGCCTTTGCGTTTAGTGTTCGTGTTGACTATGCGCTTCTTACACCCTTATTAGAACCCATTTCTGACCATCTTTTGAGTTTGGGTTTGAATTCAAGTTGTGATTTTGATGGGGCTTCCTTGGGGGTTATGTGCACGGTGTAGTCCCCGACAAAACCTAGAAGTTTCGTCGGATTCGGAGCGGTTTCCATTTGGTAGCTTTTGAGATTTTTATCTCAAATTGAGGTAGAGGATGTTCTAGGCTTTTGTGTGTGTTGTATTGAATGTTTAGCATGATTATACAACTTAATTGCTTGCCTTGTATCAATTCTAGAAAATTAGTATTAATTATTTCTTTGTATGAAATTTAATTCACAAGGATGTGTATAACTTAGAATGGAATTGTGGCATGCTAGAAAATCATGTTTTAATATTTTTGTTAACATATATTAAATTGGGATTAATTGAATAAGAATTGCACTTTTTATTTAATATTTATCTTTGGTGAAAGATTAAATCCCATGGCCATACTTTTCATGAAATGAATTTGTAGTATGCTTTTAAATTAAGTCTTAACATGTTTGTTAACATACTTTAATTTGAGAGTATTTGGACAAGTATGAAAAT